ATGATATCTGGAATTATTATCAAAGTCTCGACCAATAACACTTACCTCAGTCGACATTGTTACGGTTCAGCTTAATTCCGGATATCGCCAAAACCTCATCCAATTATTGTTTAATATTCAGAATAGTGTAATGCGGAATAAATCAGCCTACACTAGCTTTTTTATCGGCTGCTATCAGACCTACCGTTCAAAGGGTTTGCATGAATTCTGTAACATATTTAAAAAAGTTTATAGATGGTATTCCATTGGTTGTCATATAATTCTCAGTCTGATTTGAATTATAGCACTTTAAATTAGTGGTTGCATTTCAAGTATTTAAAGACAAAATCTTTTTCTTTTAAATTGCGCCTTTTCCGCTTTTTTTCCAGTTAATGAAGTGGTGTTTAATAAAAAGCTCGAGGCGAAACCGACTGGTTTTGAGATCTGATAAGACACGATCTGCGAGTTTATTGAACAGCTTCACTGAACTCCTACTTTTATCTTACTTTTCCCCACAATAGTCTATGCACACATTTTCCAATCGTAGCCAATCCCTCAGTCACTTTTTAGGATGCTCCACGACCCCTGAAGAGACACCAGCGACCCACCTACTGGTCAAATACTTTAATAGACTTTAGCATCTAAGAAAAGGGAAGTTTCAAGTCTTGTCGATATGTCTCATTGTCTTGTCGACAATGTAGAGTATTTCTCAGCGCTTTTTGTCGCATTTAAAACTCTAAACATGCTCAAATAAAATCATATCATGAATCATTACCTGAGGAATGCGTTAATTTGGCTATTCCATCTCTGACTTATGAAAATCTTTTCGTTATTGAAATTTGCTTAATAGACCTATCCCGAATTCGCTTGACTGACCACGAAACAATGGTTTGAAGTCGAGGTTGAACTTGATTCATTTATTCATCAAATTCAACTTCGACTTGAAACCATTGTTTCGTGACCAGTCAAGCGAATTCGGGATAGGCCTATTGCGATTTTGTCGGCCTCTGAAATAAAAATGACCGGCGTAAAGTACGAGTTGCTGTATTCTATTGGGGTTTCAAAATCCGAGTGGAATTTCGAAACCCCAATAGAATACAGTGCGAGTGTTTGACACGACATCTTATACTCTTTTTGTTATGTCTTTTTTTATTTCAAAGTTCTAGTACTTTGAAATATTTCAAAGTCCGAGTAGTAGGACTTTGAAATAGTTCAAAGTACTAAAGCTTTGAAATGGGTGCGGTAGTATTTGATGGGGTTTTAAACTACTGCACGTGGTACAAATAAGAAACCCTGGTTGGTCGATGAGCTCATAAATAATTAATGAGTATAAGATATGAGCTTCAAACTAGCTGATCATCATTTGTGCCATTACGATAAGTAGCTGCCAGTGATCTTGCTTTTTTTGCGTGATTTTAGCTGAAAAATGTTTTTCAGATTCTAATGGTCGTGGTTATAATAGTGAACAAATTGCGAGCCTTCTTTAAAAGAACGGATTCTTCTGAATTCTTCAGTACGAAGAATTCATACCTTTCATAACGACTGATCTTTTGAGTTTATAATCTTTTAAGCCCCAGCTTTAATCTTTATGCTGAGTGAATCTTCAAGTATTACTTAATCTATTTCAACAAGATGCGTGGAACTGAACTTGGATGCCTTTTATGATGCTAAACGATCATAGAATGTTTCACAGGAAAAAGGTTTAGTTTAGCTTGCGACTGCCTAATAACTAGACCTACTACCGTAAGGTGTTATCCTTTTGCTAAAAGAATTGCAGACCTTACCACATAATATATATGACAAGAATGAGTTACCCTGAAGATGAGATAGGTGCATACCGTGTTAAGGCCTTCGACATATCTAGATAGATTACGTCATTTTGGTTTACACGGTCAGAGCAGGTTGGCTTCCAATATGATCGGAAGCATGGGTGGCGTAGCGGTGATGGGGCTCGCCTCTCACCAATGCGACCCAGGCTCGATTCTCGGACTCGTGTGTGAGTGGAGTTGTTTGTTGTTTCTCTCCTGTCTTCGAGGGTTTTTCTCCGGGTTCTCCGGTATTCCTCCCTGCGCAAAAATACACTTCTAAATTCCAATTCTATCTAGAAAGGGCCTAGATGGAAATTACTCTGTGTAATTCTAGTTACTGTATTAAATTGTGTAATTTAAAAAAAATGTGGACAGGAACTTCCTATAAGTTGAGTAGTGCAAGATCTGCCTGGTAGGAATCCATGTTGAAATTGTGTTGATTAAGCTTGTTACTTGATCTTTCATATAATTAATACGAAACGGTCAATGTCTTTGGAAACTTGGGATAACAAAGAGATAGGTCTATAGTTCTCCAAGAAGATCGATTTCGCCTTTTTTGAACACGTGGTGCATGTCCTCCGTAGCCGTCATTAGTTTCAGTCCTTGAGGTGTGTCGATGCAATCAGATGTGAAGACAGAAGAAAAGTAGCGATTGAAGAGGTTAGCAAGCATATACGTAACAAAATCACTAACCAGCAAGGCTCTGTATATTCTTAGGTATTCGCGGAAAGAGGGCCTCAACAAGCTGAACTGAACCATTTATTTGATTCGATCGTTTTAGCTAATGTCACCTATAGCTTGCCCGTTTTATGGAACTTTCTCGACCGATGTAAAAAGGGTAACTACGTACCGTATTTACTCGTTTAGACGCCGCGGCGTTGTCTAATTTCTCGTGGTCCAGCTGCGGCGTTTATTTGGGTCGTTTATTCAAAATTACTTTATTCAATAAGAATTCTTGAAAGAGAACTTAACGCAAGGACAAAAGAGTACAGTCACTTTGAACTTGAAAATGTTGTTACGTTCTAAAAGAAAATGAATTTCCGTTGCTGGTTTAAACTTGAAATATACCTTTTCTTTATCATTATTTATCATAAATTATTATTTCCTCAAATAAACGCCACACCGCAGATGCGGCGTCTATTCGGGGGCGGCGGCGTCTGAACGAGTAAATACGGTATACACCACCAAGCCCAAAGATATCATCAAAGATATCGTGCTTATTTCACCTTCCTGCGTGCTTTATTACTAAACGGAGCACGGTAAAAGCTTCTTTATTTGTTTGTTAATTATTCTATAGTAAGGATAGCACGTGCGCTCTCATTGGTCGAAAACTATGCTATATTAGTAAACAGGGCACAGTTCTGACGACGCCATCCGCGCGCGCGAAGTGCTGCTAGATCCTGCGAGCGCTTTTGTTTTTACGTAAATAAATTCAATACCGGAATGAAATTAGTAACTATATAATAAAATGAATAAAACAGTGACCGTCGTCACAATCAGAGAGTCATCACTTTCAAATTGTTCAACACTCCTTTCTTTGAAAACATCCAAGACTGCACCAACACGTTTTGCTACAAGAGGATCAAATACACCCTTCTAAAAAAGATAGTGCAAAATATCACTGTCACGATTTCTTAACCTCCCTAACTCCAATCAATTTAGTTCACTTTCAGTAACTTGTTGATCATCACTTTCTGGTACTTTTTCTTTGCACTCAACAACAGCTGCTAGTCTTTCTACTGCTTGTGGGTTAGAAATAATACCTAAAACTTTAATACTTCGTTTTATCATACGCTTATATTTATCTCTGGTAGCTTTTTTCTTGTTGTTGAGCACTTTCTTTTTTGTTTGTTTGTAACTTGCAGATATGGCAGAGGAAACTTTCTTTGGAGCTGTTTTTCAGTAAATGATACATTATTTAAGGGTAGTTTCAAGACGTTCACAAGAATTTTGCAAATCAGATATCTTCTGTAAACAGAATTGGTACTCATAATTGTCAGCCCATGACTTCGGTTGCACTTGATCATTCAACAGCCCAGGGATCCTTTCTTGCCAATTTTGTAAAAATCATGACTGGGTTGGTCCACAACAGGAAAGGATACCTCAGCCAGTTCCTGAATCTAACAACCCTGGACACCATCAAAAGCTTTCAAAACCCAATCTAAAAACAGGCATCCTGAAGATTGGCCAACATCAATAAAGCTTTCAACGATCCTACAGAGTTTAATTTGGAAACAGAAAATGATGTTTATACATTTCGCTAATAAGTTTGCTGTAGATGTAAAGCATGTTAGAGTACTTTTGTCATCTAAAGATATTAAAACAGGRAGCAGAGATGAGAGCTACACAGAGGAAAAAATATAAAAAAGACCTTGAGGGGAAAAAATGATGATTATGACTGGATGGAACTAGTCTTGGATGGAAAAATAAAAAAATTGAAAGTACATGAACTTGACAAGTACTTGCACAAATACAGTCTTCTAGCTGGCATCAAGGCACTGAAGAATGATAAAGTTAACTGCATTATAAGTCGTGTTGAATTCGAAAGCACAAGAAAATACGTAACCCCTCCTCAAAATCACCCACCCCCTATCTCACCATAAATAATGACCGCTCCCTAATACTGTTAGCCGACTTAATTCCTGTGGTAATATTTTCCAGACTCTAGTGGCCCTTTTCCATGCTCCGTTGTAAATAAAGCACACGGAAGCGCCGTAAGCACTTGAGAAGTGTGAGAAAACTTCGGCTCATCCTTCTCCTTACAATTCTTTCGTACTTACTGATCACCTTTCTGTGTTCTTTATTACTGAACAGAGCACGGAAAAAGCCGTTTTATTTGTTAAATATTAAGTACTTATGCAAATTACGAAAAGCTTTTATTCCATTCCCATGCATATTTAAGCTCGATGACGTCAGGATACCATAGAGTGCAAACAATTAGTCCGTGAAACACTAATTACTAAATAGTACAAAATAGTGCTAATTAAAACAATAGAAAACAATGGAATGTGCATGAAATTGTGCTATTTAGTATTACTAAAGTTTCACGGTTATATTGTTTGCACTCTACCACAAGCAGATACTAAAAAAATATCGACTGCTCAAACATTAGTGTTTTTTTTTCAAATGGAATTTTTATTTTCAAATTAAAGGATGGTAATTAATATTTACAATGTGACTTAGTACTAAAGAAAAATTAAAACATTAACTCTACTTGGTTACTAAGCCTTTATTAATTCTTTCATACTCAAAGTATGCTTTACATAATCAAGTTAAGTTAGAGTGCAAATATTTGAAAAAAAACCAAATTTTTTTGGAAGTAAATATTGCAGTCTATTGTTTTAGTTTTAAATAGAGAGATATAAGACTGTTTATGTATACGAAACTGCTTAAGATAAGTACTTGTGTTTTGCACAAGTTATATTAATTGCCAAGTCCATATAATACTAGTAAAAATATTGTACTAAAATTTTGAATAATCAATACTAGGGAAATCACTTGAGAGAGTAGTAAAACTTCCTTTAGAATATACGTCTCGTAATGAGATTATTGTGTACCACGGGATCGCCTTTGAGTATAATACATAATCTCCCCATGTGATACATATATTTCCAAACTCTAGTGATTTCCATAGTAACGACCAATAGTTAACAAAATCATAACTAGCATCTTACATTAAAATCTGCAAAGCATAATGGAATTGAAGAACACCAAGTAGCAAAATCTATATACATAAGATGATTATTTTGGATAAAATTAATAAAGAAACTTTGTAATTTATGCTATACATTGCTCAGTAACCATCTAGGATATTGGTAAATAAACTATTCTGATAGGTCAAAAATGGTTGAGGAGCTTAAACATGTCAATGTGCTGATCTTCATGAATTTGCTGCTGGCATATTTGTTATAAACAGCCTGGAAGTAAAAAACAGCTTGTTAGAGCTCTACAAAGTATGGTGTCATTGGGTAAGTAATACATCACAAAAGAGTGAGATTTCTTTTTTGCTCAAAAGTCGAGTGCTTTTATGGTTACAAGACATTTGGAACCCCAATCAAGTATGAAGCAAAGAGCTTCTCAAACTATTCATAATAGAATATATATTTATATGACCATGAATTTTAAAGCCTGGACACTAGCAAATCGAGCAATCTGATAGGATAGATCGCATTGTGGACTGGTCTAGATTCTCTGGTATTAACCGGTCCGATATTAATATTACGCCGAAAACATTTTGTCCTTTTCAATGAAAAGTGGTCATACAGTAAAACCCCTCTATACCAGACAGTGCTGGGACAGATAAAAATTTCCGGTTTAGCGAGGGTTCCGGTATGCTGAGGTTTTTGCAAATTACTTTTGTTTTCGATTTGAATAGGTGCGATATCACACCTATTGAAAATATGTTTGTGTCTAATCGTTTAGCATCAGTATAAACAAACACGTAAACGAAAGTTCAAGTAAAAATATCAACAATAAGATCAAAAACTAAGCAAATTCTTTACTTTTTATTTCAAAAGAACGCCAAGAAGAAACATTCTTAATACGATCTGAACAAAATCCCCGGTAAAATGGACTGGGAATGACCCCAAAGCCATGTGACATGAAAAAACATGGAGGCCGCAACTTTGCGAACCATTCGATCTTTAGTATTTTTCAACACTATTAAACCTTCGTTATGCATTCTGTTTGAGCATTTATATATTGAAAACAATTAATTAGTCTTTATGTGTCTATTTGTGAACAAGATTTACTATTTTTATAAAAAAATATTTTCGATGATCTTGTGAGTTCAGAAGTTGTCCCTGTAGACTGTAGAATTTACACACCCGCAAATACGTTAGTGATGGTAGTTCCGAAACAAAGGTACGTTCTTCCGGACTAGCGGGGTTGAATTCTATTGTCAAATAGTGTTTGGTACCGAAATTATCGTCCGGTTTCCAGAATAGAGAGGTTCCGGTTTACTGAGGTTTATTTTACAAAAGATATATGGGAAAAATTTCCGGACCAAAACTTTTGTCCGGTTTATAGAGAATTCCGGTATACTGAGGGTCTGGTATAGAGGGGTTTTACTGTATAATAAAACTCTTATCAACCGAGCTTGGTCGGTCTGTATGGGATAATCTTGACCTCGGTCAGGTACAGACCTCGCTGCGATCGGTCTGTACATTCCAACCTCGGTCAAGATTATCCCGTACAGACCTCCCACTCGGTTAATAAGATCTAATATTGTTTTTTGGTATTATGTATATGTTAAAAAAATCTCAAAAAACGTCCCAAAGATTGGTTCTTGCTCAAGGAATTGAGTCGTAGCATAATAGGTAGCAAGGAAAGAGGGTAGAATAAGGGGGCAGCCCCTATTCTCTTCCTGCAGATTTGCAATGATAGTCTTTCCAAGTACATCATAGCAAGGCTTCATGCAAAGATTAAGCAAAATATAAAAGTGCTCTTGAAAACTTTTTTTTTGGACATTTTGTTTATAAAATGGCATTGTTTAGTTTCCTGTAAAAGACAACTTCTCAAGAATGATTTTACATTTTGTGCTGCAAAGATGTTCTTTGCACATTGCCTTGCTATGGTGCACTAGGACACAACATGAAGTGACCAATCTGCTTTCAGTTCAAAGCATTTCACTCCAAAATAGATGCAGCTGATAAATATTCTATACAGGACAAGAATGATTCAGCATGTAATTATCAGGTTAAAGTATAAAGAGGTGGATAAACCTTAATCAGTTAAAAAAGAGTTGAGCAGACCAAATATTTTCCATAATTTCTCCAGATTTACCATACCTTTCCTTTGCTGTCTTTATCCTTGGTTTTCAACACAAGCTTTGCTATTCTCTTCATACAAGTTGTCAAATGCGTTTCTGTATAAGTACTGTAATACTCTAGAGTTTGAGTCTGAAAAAAAATCAAGATTGAAAAAGAAAGACGTACATTAAGGAGGCTCGAAATCGTTTCCTTCAGCATATGTGCATGCTCTAGGGCCAATGAGGTATGCATTGCAAATTGAACTTACAAAAGGACAAATTTGTCAGAAATTTTAATATTCAAATGGAAAAACTGACAAACTGTGCTGTGAAATGTCAACAATTTTCATTTCCTTTCTTCACCAAAAAGAAGATTACAATACAAAGTTTGAACATGCCAATTTCAATGCTTGGTTGATAAATCTCAAACATTCTATGTATGGACATCAGTATGTTGAAATTTTGGCTCCATTTTGATCACACAAACCTGGAATGCTTGGAAGGCATCAAGGAAAATGTGTGGGGCAATCATACAAAAGTAGGCTTGGCTGTAAAATCTCAGGATCTTAAATGTTGGCTTAGCTGAGGATTGAGAAATGTCACATTATATACAAAACATTTTACCCATTCAGAGTTGTCTAGCAGCTTCATGGAGAGGCAAAGGGCAGCAGCTGCTATTTCAGATGGTAGAAACTGGATGGAGCCATAATCCAGAAGGGTGATTTCCATGAGATATTTAGCCAATGTGTGCTTTTGAGCATCAACCTTAAAATATTAATATATTTCTATATTAGTATAACTACTTTAGGAGTATACCTAAGTATATAGTACAACATACAACTATATTCCTTTGGTTAAGAAAATTGTATTTTTTAATGAGAATGTGGTTAAAAATATTAGCATAAATTTAAAGGATAAAAAAAAATTAAATTGATCACATACAGTGATAACTTAAGCACCAAGAAGCATATAAGGAAAGTACAAACTTCCAAAGGAATCAAACTCATTATTATAAATATTATGATTATAATAGTTATCAAGGTAAATATTCAGAATTTAGCATACTTACACCCCCAGCCTTGGAATTTCTGCGAAGGAAATGGAGACAGAGAGGTTTTCCAAGATTAAACTCTAAGGTTTTGAAAATTTGAGCTTCCATCTGTCTTATTTGTCGTTTTGTGTAAGCATTATCTGTTATATACACAAAGTCTCCAATCTCTGGTGCATACATTTCTTCATATTTGGATGCGAGTAGCATGGCACTTACACCTACAAGCTGAAGGTTTTGCTTGGTAACTTGATAGTTCTGTAAACAAGAAAAAAGGATATAATTATTCTTGGAGACAAAACACAGTGGTATAATCATTAGTATCATATGCTAAAATACTTCATATCTAGAAATTCAAAGAATCTTATAAAGGAATTTGGATATGAGTTTGGTAAATAAAGGAAGCTATGTGGTTATTTCTTGCAATTGGCCTATTTTCCCGTTTGCATGATAGATTAAATAAAAGTGCTTCGTCTCATTTCAAAGTACTGTAACAACACTGCTTCGAAGAAAATATTTTATACTTACAGCTAAGAACCTATCAATAATTGATATTGTTAAATACAGAGTTTCTTGAAGGAGATGGAATCTTGTGTGGACTTGAATCAGCCAGTCGACTAGAATTGTGCGCATTTTCTCGTTTACTTCTTTCTGACTGTTCATGTAATCTGGTGACACACTATATTTACGCTGGAAAAGAAAAAAAGATAAGCTTATGTTTATATACATCAACTTTTAGCAAGAATAAAATTGTCCTTCTAATTTCTTGGTTGCCTGTCGTAAACCAGCCTAAATAAAAATACTCTGGCAAATTATGTTGATTAATGTCTTTGCACTGCGACAAGACGGAATAGGCATTCCTTTCTATTCCAAGATAATAGGTTCTGCAATTACTTTAGTATTATAGATAGAACACCTCAAGGGAAGAAGTCTAGATATACAAGGTAACAAATTTGCAAACTCTTCATATGTGCTACTCCTTGGCATGATACAGGCAACCCAGTGAACGCAACTCGTTTTGGAATCGCTCAAGATACTTTTTGAAAAGGTTGAAGTGAAGCGCACTTTAACGTTCGCAAAATGAGCTCGGATGTTTCCAAGCTTAGCATAAGCTTACAATATTTTAGAACGAGATAAGAAAGGTTTTATGCTGAAATTCAATTTGTGCCCCATTGAGAACTTCTGAATTTGGACTCACCTCCATTGCTCTAAGATAACGCATGATTTCGTTGACGTATTCAGCACACAGTTGAGGATTATTGAAGTCTTCTCTGTCGATGTCTTCTACTTTGCATGGTATAAGACAATCAGCCAATGCTTCGCTAACATCTGCCAAGTCCATAGGCTCGCATTTTTCATCTTTAGCGGGTTTAATTGCAGTTGGGAGAAGGGACGAAGCCTTCGATCTCGTGAGAGTCTTCTTATAAACATGTCAACCAAAAGTCAAAGTTAGAACTTTCCTTCAGAAATATAATGCAGCTGGCAAAATTTTATATTACTGGTAGCCTATATGATCCTTTAACGGTATCAAATAAGCTTAATTCTTACTTTTTGGTCGTTGAAAGCCGTTGCTTTATTTCCGATGTCTCCGAGGGCAGCACGCGGTCTTGAAACCTTAGAGAAACCTTTTCCAAGCGGATTTTCATTTTCTTTCTGGAATGGGAGAGTTTGCTAAAAAGAACAGGAAATACAAAGTGTTAACACGAACTTACTTGTTAATGTCTTAACTAATCTACTAGTAGCTAGCTGACAAATTCAAAATCTTGTACTAGTAGCTTTTGAAATTAGTTTGTAAACTACGAACGGCTAACTGAAAAAATTAAAATGTTTATACTCACAGTTCCAAGACGACGTATGGCAGCCATAGCTTTTGAATCCTTGGTTATTACTACTTTTTTAGTAAGAGAATTTCACTGTAAGGTAAACTTGTTCTACTAGCTTCTCTTTGAGCGTTTTGACTTTACTTCTTTCCTGCAGTTACTTCGTTTGTAAAACGTAAGATGCAAGTGACGCTGTTCGAAGGCCTTTTGAATTACGCTCCCTGGCATCTGATTGGATAACGAACAACAAAACCTCTATCGTGATTGGTTTAGATGCCTTCTTGACTTCGTGTTCCACGCTGTTCCCCGGGCTGCTCGTGCGACGTGATTCTTCACAAAATATCTTAAAAAGATCTAACAACCTTGAATCAAAATACTATTTTATCCTTTCAGTTCAATTTGTTTAGACTAATCCCTATTTTAAAAATCGCGGTGAGGAAACTCCCAGGAGATCCATTTTCCCCGGACCATTTTCGGACATTGTTCGGTTTCCCGAATTGAAGCTCAGTGGTCAATCGATCGAAGGTCGGGTCTAAACGTGGCAGTATAATAAAGTGGCACTTTTCAATATGGCGTTCGTTAGTGACTGTGCAATCGTATTTTTTTCACAACTACTTTTCTTTGGAATTGGTTGGATATTTTTCATGAGAAGACTTTTTAGAAACTACGAAGTTCATCATTTAGCTGTTCAGATCGTATTTTCTATAACTTTTGCCTTGTCTTGCACTATGTTCGAACTTATAATTTTCGAAATTCTTGGAATCTTGGACAAAAACTCAAGATACTTTCATTGGAAAGTCGGTATATTTTCAATGCTTTTCACTCTTATATTTCTTCTTCCGTTTTACATATCATATTTCTTAGTCAAGACAATTCGTCTCGTGAACAACAGAGCCACAGTTCTCTTTCTTGCTGTAGGATTTTGGCTGGCCTTTTTGTACATGTTTTGGAAAATTGGAAATCCTTTTCCTATATTGAACCCAAGACACGGGATCTTCTCAATTGAGCAAGGTATAAGTCGTGTAGGAGTGATAGGAGTCACTGTGATGGCAATTCTTTCAGGTTTTGGAGCAGTTAACTGTCCATATACTTATATGACATTTTTCATGAGGCATGTGAGCAATTCTGACATTCAATCCCTGGAAAAAAGGCTTACACAAACTATGGATATGATCCTGAGCAAGAAAAAACGTATAGCTTTGGCTAGGAGAGAAAGTCGTAGATTTGCTGCTTCGTCACAACTAAAATCAGGTAAACAGAACAAATTTGATATTTGTAGTTTTTGCTTTGCCACAATATGGAACAAATCTATGATTAATGAGAGATTCACTTCACAACTGAATAATGAAGTTTTCAGGGTGAACATTCCATTCCATGTTCACAAGCAGGGTGAAGGGGGGTACAAATAACGTTTCATGGATAAGAAAATGGTAAAGCATGGGCTGTAGGAGAATATTTGGTTTGTGAGGGGGAAAATTACACCAGTCTCAATTTAGGGATCTGAGTTTTGCGTTGGGTTTGTAGTTGGACCCAACGACACAACACGGCAAACATCAATATAAGAAATATGAGCTTACTTCTGATCACAGTTTTGTGCCTATGAAGGAATAGGTGCTTTCGCTTGTGTGCATGCACATCTATTGTTTTATCATAGGTCACGTGACCTTTAATTTTTGTACTCTCACCTCCTGCGTTTAATACACAGCAGGATGCTTTTATATTTTCTTGTTTCCTCCCTTTTTTTTGCTAAAGCCATCTTTTCCTTTCTTAACTTTTAACCACTCATTCCTGATTCTCTGCAACCAGCGCTGTTGTATGATAATTTTCTCCCATATCGATAGTTAACCCGACACCACCCAGAGTCCATGCAAAACTATCGTTTTCATGGTCATAACTATATTCACTATTCCGTAATTTAATAAGTTACACCGGATTGTCGATATCAGTCGTGATACTGACAATGATGTAAGGTTTCTGGAATACAAAAGTGGTAAAACCCAACAACCCAACAGCCCAACAGCCCAATAGCCCAACAAACCCAACAGCCCAACAGCTCAACAAACCCAACAGCCCAACAAACCCAACAGCCCAACAAACCCAACTGCCCAACAGATTAACAAACCCAACAAACCCAACAACCCAACAGCCTATCAGCCCAACAGCCCAACAGACCCAACAGACCCAACAGACCCAACAGACCCAACAGCCCAACAGACCCAACAGCCCAACAAGCCCAACAAGCCCAACAGCCCAACAGACCCAACAGCCCAACAGCCCCAACAGCCCCAACAGCCCAACAGACCCAACAGCCCAACAGACCCAACAAGCCCAACAGACCCAACAGACCAACAAGCCCAACAGACCCAACAACCCAACAAGCCCAACAGCCCAACAGACCCAACAGCCCAACAAACCCAACAGACCCAACTGTTGGGCTGTTTGGCTGTTGGGTTTGTTGGGTTGTTGGGCTGTTGGGTTTGTTAATCTGGGCTGTTGGACTGTTGGGCTGTTGGACTGTTGGGCTGTTGGACTGTTGGGCTGTTGGGTTTGTTGGGCTGTTGGGTTTGTTAATCTGTTGGGCTGGTTGGGCTGTTGGGCCGTTGCGTTTTACCACTTTTGTATTCCAGAAACCTTACATCATTGCCAGAATCACGACTGATATCGACAATCCGGTGTAACTTATTAAATTACAGAATAGTGAATATAGTTATAAAATTCATGAATAATTAATGAGGAAAGCACAATAGAAATCATTGTCCGTGGAGGCGGTTGTATGTCTGATACAAAATCCTCCTGATTTGCATTAACTTTAACTCCAATTTTCTTAGCCAAATTCAATTTCATCTTTAAAATTATAGTAGAACATGAATGTATACACCTAGACGTTTCATAAGTAATATACAATATTCGCGTCCGTGTTATTGAACACAGGACTACCCCCTAGGTGTATGTGAAAAATACTAGATAGCAGTATTGCAGCTGGGAAATTGTTGTTGAATATTATTCCCCTATAGGATACGGTAAAGAAAATTCGGTTTTGCAGTTCAAATCAAGTCAGGAAAGAAATTGTCAAATTCCCTGTTGTGTTTACATGCATTCCCTTATAAGAGCCTTTCGCTGAATAAGCCCGCATTCATAGGAGAACATCTTTAATTTCTCAGGCTGTACATCAGCTGCGTGCTTCAAATAAAAAGTTTCAACAACTTTGGAGCTCTGGCTACCTGCGCATGTATTTAGTTTTCTCATATGGTGCAGGATGGAAGAGGATGATGACAGATTTGGATGTGAAGTGTAGACCATCCACAGCCATGTTGGTGAACACAGGCCTACCCCTAGAAGTATGTGAAAAATACTAGATAGCAGTATTGCAGCTGGAAAATTCTTGTTGAAAATTATTCCCGTATAGAATACGGTAAAGAAAATTTGGTTTTGCAGTTCAAATCAAGTCAGGAAAGAAATTGTCAATCGCCTTCGGCTTGTCATGTGGTTGTATATCTGATACAACATGGCCACTCATATTACTATATATTACTTATGGCCTTGAAAACGATAGTTTTGCATGGACTCTGGGTGGCGTCGGGTTAACTATCGATATGGGAGAAAATTATCATACAACGGCGCAGGTTGCAGAGAATCAGGTATGAGTGGTTAAAATTTAAGAAAGGAAAAGATTGCTCTAGCAAAAAAAAAAAAGGGAAGAGGAAGCAAGAAAATATAAAAGCATCCTGCTGTGTATTAAACGCAGGAGGTGAGAGTACAGTGCAAAAATTAAAGGTCACGTGACCTATGATAAAACAATAGATGTGCATGCGCACAAGCGAAAGCACCTATTCCTTCATAGGCACAAAACTGTGATCAGAAGAGCTCATATCTCTTATATTGATGTTTGCCGTGTTGTGTCGTTGGGTCCAACCACAAACCCAACACAGAACTCAGATCCCTAAATCGTGACCCATATGTATATGATCTTTGTAATTGATGAGCCCACAATATCTTATCTGGCAAGACACCAGATACCTTTCTGTTGTATTATCCTTTACAAAAAAATAAGAGGGTAGGCCCAAAGTATAATTTCATCGTGCTACAGTATCCTTCAGGCCAGGCAATGACGCACCATCTCCATTACAGGGAACAACCTTGTCCCTTTCATCTAATGAGGAAACCACCCTGTCCCCTTCATCTAAATAAGGAAACCACCCTTTCCCCTTCATCTAAATAAGGAAACTACCCTGTCCCCTTCATCTAAATAAGGAATCTACCCTGTCCCCTTTATTTAAATAAAGAAACTACCCTGTCCCCTTCATCTAAATAAGGAAACTACACAGTCCCTTTCATCTAAATAAGGAAACTACCCTTTTCCCTTCATCTAAATAAGGAAACTACCCTGTCCCCTTCATCTAAATAAGGAGACTACCCTGTCCCCTTCATCTAAATAAGGAAACTACCCTGTCCCCTTCATCTAAATAAGGAAACTACCCTGTCCCCTTCATCTAAATAAGGAAACNATAAGGAAACTACCCTGTCCCCTTCATCTAAATAAGGAAACTACCCTGTCCCCTTCATCTAAATAAGGAAACTACCCTGTCCCCTTCATCTAAATGAGGAAACTACCCTGTCCCCTTCATCTAAATAAGGAAACTACCCTGTCCCCTTCATCTAAATGAGGAAACAACCCTGTCCCCTTCATCTAAATAAGGAAACTACCCTGTCTCCTTCATCTAAATGAGGAAACCACACTTTCCCCTTTATCTAAATGAGGAAACCACCCTGTCCCCTTCATCTAAATAAGGAAACTACACGGTCCCTTTCATTTAAATAAGTAAACCACCCTGTCCCCTTCATTTAAATAAGGAAACCACCCTGTCCCCTTCATCTAAATAAGGAAACCACCCAGTCCCCTTCATCTAAGTAAGAGTTAATTACCTTGAACGGAGGCAATAAGCCATATGCATCCCGAGGGCCGCAGGCCCGAGGGATGTATAGGCTTATTGCCGACGTTCGAGGTAATTAAGTATTTTATTTATCAACTGAGAAGGTTTTCTATCAAATGTTGCTCATTATAAATGCGAACGGTCTATATATAGTTATTAACCGGGTTAATAACTATATATTGACCTTGCATTTATAATGAGGGTTATAACAAAAATAAAGCCTTGTGAATAACAAAGAAAACTGTGTCAATTGATAAATAAATACGTAAACCACCCTGTCCCCTTCATCTAAATGAGGAAACCATCCTGTCCCCTTCATCTAAATAAGGAAACCACCCTGTCCACTTCATCTAAATGAGGAAACCATCCTATCCCCTTCATCTAAATGAGGAAACCACCCTGTCCCCTTCATCTAAATAAGGAAACTACACAGTCCCCTTCATCTAAATAAGGAAACTACCCTTTCCCCTTCATCTAAATGAGGAAACCACCCTTTCCCCTGCATCTAAATGAGGAAACTACCCTGTCCCCTTCATCTAAATGAGGAAACCATCCTTTCCCCTTCATCTAAATAAGTAAACCACCCTTTCCCCTTCATCTAAATGAGGAAACTACCCTGTCCCCTTCATTTAAATAAGGAAACTACCCTCTCCCCTTCATCTAAATAAGGAAACTACCCTGTCCCTACTCTTCAGCTAAATAAGGAAACCACCCTGTGCCCTTCAACTAAATAAGGAAAACACCCTGTCCCCTTCATCTAAATAAGGAAACCACCCTGTCCCCTTCATCTAAGTGAGAGTTAATTACTGAGAACGGAGGCAATAAGCCATATACATCCCGAGGGCCGCAGGCCCGAGGGATGTATAGGCTTATTGCTGACGTTCAAGGTAATTAAGTATTTCATTTATCAATTGAGAAAGTTTTTTTATCAAATGTTGCTCATTATAAATGCTAACGGTCTATATATAGTTATTAACCGGGTTAATAACTATATATTGACCTCGCATTTATAATGAGGGTTATAACAAAAATAAAGCCCTGTGAACAACAAAGAAAACTGTGTCAATTGAGAAATAAATGAGGAAACCACCCTGTCCCCTTCATCTAAATGAGGAAACTACGCTGTCCCCTTCATCTAAATAAGGAAAATACCCTGTCCCTACCCTTCAGCTAAATAAGAAAAGCATTGTTTGTTTGCTTTCAAAATAGATTATTCAACGGTTTGTCCTGAACATAATGAATCGAATTAGAAGCATTGTTCACTTATTCTATGAATTATTTTCTCATTATTTATCATAAATAAATTGTAAATGTAGCTGACTGGTTGAAAGGAATGATAGAAAAAGAATTATTTTAAGATAAAGCATGTGAGATAATAAAGATTTCTTGCCATCAATATTCGAAAGCAGCAGTGATAGCTTCTCCAGTGAATCAGAGGATTCTCATACAGATACCCAACGAGCAGTTTCTTTTACCTTCCACTGAGAGAGAGAAAGGAAAGAAGACTCTGCCGAAACCCTGTTGCTTTTAATTTGAGCATGCGCGGCGGTTGCTTAGGAATGAATGACTTTCCACGCCTACTCACTGAAATAATATTTCCGTTTCCGGTCAGTTTCCAGTCCACAATTGGAATTGCTAGTTGATAAATTAAGGATTTGTCATGTCTGGTCGGCAAAGATACAAAAGTATCTTGTCCAGAAATAAATTCAAAGATACCCCTTTCTTGTTGAGCTGAAAAACTGAATGATGAATCTTGTGATGTAGAAGTAAACAGACTATGAAGTACGTTTTTGATAGCTTCTCCAATGATTGATGCCATATTATGCTTGTGGGCGCACTGTTTATGTCAGTAAATTAGCTGTGCGCACAAAAACCGGTTGGTCCGCAAGCAAAACGTGTGAGTAGCCCCGATTCTTGGGCTATCAGCACTTCAAAGAAACTACAGGGTTTCTGCAGAGTCTTCTTTCCTTTCTCTCTCTCGGGGGAAGGTAAAGGAGACTCTGCTTGCAGGGTATCATACAGAGTAACAATACTTAACATTGTATACCAGTGACCCTCTCTAAGTCTGAATAGGCATGCACTTTTTCAATATAACAATGCAAAGGGAATTACAAAGACAAAGATATTGAAATAATTATGTAGATATTGGTATTCACAACTTTTAATATAACACGTTCATTTATAAAAAAGGTAATTTGGGGACTACTATATCTGCAGTCTGAACCTTGGCTTGCAGCTATATATGATGATATGTTAGTTTTGTTTAATGTCACCATTTCAATTTTGAAGTTTACATGTCATTAATGTTTCAAGATTTGTTTTTCTCTCACACAATGTAGTGTTTAGATTCATTGAAAATGTAGTTTTGCTATGAAAATGTAAACTAAACAGCTTTATACTATTAATATCAAACCTGAAATAGAGATAATTAGCTAAAAACTAGTGTTAGCTGCTTCGGTGTTTCTAATGAAACAGTAATGATAAAAGGATGCTAGTTGAAAGGTCAGCTAGCTTATTCAACTTTTCACGGTGTAAAATTTACCCTTTTATCAAACCTGAAATAGTAAGTTATAACTAAAAACGCATGACCCCACAAAAATGTTTGCATGATTTCATGCAGCCCCTCATTTTTGGTTGAACAAAAAGGTTTGGCCCCCTCCCCATTTGTACCAGCCCAACCCCCTCTAATAAATGACCAGTCCCTAAGCTTGGTGTGGAAAATCCAAATTCTGTCACTGTCTTTCAAAACTTTGCAACTTATTTCCACTTCTCCTTTGGATTCTTAAGAGTCTCTGAAACTGTTCCAATCAGATAACCTGGTCTACCCTGCTGCCAGGGTCTTGTTCATAATTAGATATAGTGTGTTCATTAGAAAGACAATGATGGCAGCTAAATCGGCAATTGATTCAATCAAAGAAAAGGGAGGTAAAACGACCATTTAATATTCATGTTTATTCATTGAAGACTTATGTAACAATTCATAAAATATGAATAGACAGATTCAAGTGAGTAATAAGGAATTAATTGGTTTAATAACAAGAATTTTCCCTGTCACAAACCAAATATTCTCCTACAGCCCATGGCTGAAATCATGTTTCAAAAAAATAATGGAAATGACTATTTCACATTTCATAAAAAATATGGCCCAATGACGTTTCATAAAATATAGCTCTGCACAACCCTGCACAACCCTGCACATTAAGAGCTGTATTGATAGTGACTCTGCCAACACAGTTTTATATTCATTGTGTTGAGAAAGAAAGAAAAATTAGGATGCTGCCAACTTGGGTAGTTTTTTTGTTAATCAATCAATCAACCAATCAACCCTTATTAATGTGTCAATGTATTAGTCTCAGACACTAATAAATTGGGGACACAAAGCATGCAATGCAGTTGCCTAGCATTTTGACACAACTTGAGTAAAGGATGTTCCCACGCAAAAACAAAATAATGGTAACCCCCATTTTTGTTTTTCTATATTTTTCTATATTTGTTATATTGACATTTACTTCACATTTGCTTCACATTTGCCAGCAAACATCATTAAACTGCATATTTGGTATGTTGATTTTTCATTTTAAAGGCAGTTTAAAAACATGTTTTATTCCTCTACAAATGGCGCTGATGGAGGTGGATATTGTGATCTGTTTTCTTTCCATTTTCCCAATGTAGGGTAATTCTAGTCAAGAGCTTATTAAATTACATTGCTTTCTGGGAAACTTGAAGCTGTATTGCTGGTTTCCATAGCCGCAATCTTGGTTTAACTTGACATCATTAAGGATTAGTCATTATAGTCTCTTGTTATATCAATAAACATGGTTGCTGTGCCTTTAGTTATTTCATTTTTTTGGGGAATAATTGAAAACAAGCAATAAGTCTCTTTCAGAATGTTCCATGTAAAGGTCTTCTAGTAACATTTAAATTGTCTTCTAGAATTTGTTTCTTGAACCTTTACAGTGCAACTACTATAACCACTCAGACAGCGAGAACCAATCAAATTGCAAAATAAAAACAATACATTCCCACTTTGGAGCCAATCGGAAATCAGACAAAAACAATAGAATTTCAACATTATATCTTTTTTATTCGCACAAGAAAAAGATAATTTTTTATTCGCACAAGAAAAAGATAATGGCTGTCTAGTTTTTTTATAAGTAATATCAGGGTCAAGTTACCATTCTCATGCAGTCTAGGTTTCTGATTGGCTGGAGTACCTAAAGTTAGAATGCAATGTTTTCATTCTATATTTTAATTGGTTCTCTCATATGTCCTGGTAACAGTAGTTGCACTGTAACTTGTATTTTTATACTTTTATTACTACCTTAGGTAGTCTGATGCAAATGCCGAGCATCACTAATATTTCATTTTACTTTATATTTTCTTTTCTAGGAATTTGGGGAATGTTCAGCACAGCCACAAGTAGCACAGAAAATACATCTCATCTTCAAGCGGAAGTAGATGCTATGGAAGAATTAAGTCGTCAGCTATTCCTGGAAATTGTAGACCTTCACTGCACTAGGCAAAGAATGGAGTTTTCCAAGACATTGCAGGGAAAATACTTTGATTTTTTAGGACATATTTTTTCTGGTTACTGTATCTGGAAGATTTTCATCTCCACAGTTAACATTATATTTGACCGTGTAGGAAAGACAGATCCTGTTACAAGGGGAATTGAAATCACAGTCAAGTACTTTGGAATGCAGTTTGATGTGCTGTTTTGGTCACAGCATATTTCATTCTTTTTGATAGGAATTCTAATTGTTACCTCAATTCGTGGCTTACTTATAACATTTACAAAGTTTTTTAATGCCATGGCTAGTAGTAAGTCATCTAACATCATAGTATTGGTGCTTGCAGAAATCATGGGGATGTATTTTGTCTCATCAGTGCTGCTTATGAGAATGAACATGCCTGTTGCATATCGAGAAATCATTACAGAAGTCCTAGGCTTGTTGCAGTTCAATTTCTATCATAGATGGTTTGATGTAATATTTCTTGTTAGTGCTTTGTCAAGTATTGGATTTCTTTACTTGGCACACAAGCAGGCACCAGAAAAACACATGGATAATAGCTATTTTTAGATTTTCTATAAAGCATAGTTAAGAAAGTTAATAATTTCTGATGATTGCTGTAATACATGTAGAATAGACTAAATCAGAATGTAAAAAAAGTATAGGGTAGACCTTAATTGTACTCATGGGTCAATAGCCCATTAGGCTTCATGTGACGTATGAAGTTGATATACTAGTGTGAAACAAACTGAAACATACCTAGTCTATTTGTATCAAAACAACTCGGGCCCTGAGATCAAAGTTTTGAATGTCTTCGTTGTCAAGAAAAACCTCTTAAAACAAAATTAATGTTTATCAAATTCAAAGAACACTATTTGAATGCATTTGAAGTTCAAAAATGATGCTAAAACGAGTTTTGATCTTTCATGAAATTTTCTTTTCTTGGAATTTAATTGATCAATGATTTCACTTTATGTTTTGATCTACGTATGAAATTGTATCAAAACAACTGGAAAGATTTCCGAGTGAAGAGTGCTGTCTCCAAAAACGTTTTGAGTTAAATAACTCAAACACCATTTTTCGTATCATTCTTGAACAACTCAAAAATTTGCATTAATTCATATTTGAACCCAAGAAGACTGATTAGAGAAGGTCAGGGATGCTTGTTGTACCTTAGAGTTCCAGATCTGCAATTTGGTGCCTCAGGGAGTCACAAATCTAAAAGGATTAGCAGAGAGTAAGCCAGTACCTCTTATTGTGGTATTGTAACAAAAAAATACCTGAGATTATTTGAATATTCAGAATATTTATTTTCAGTTCTGACTTCTGTCACTTAGATCATAGGTAATTGGTACCTTTTAGGGATAAAAATCGTTAGTTCCCACATGAAATTGCACAGGACTCGGGGTACCTCTTAGGGGTCATTTTTTCAAAATATCCAATGAGAATCCCTACCCTTCTACATATAGAAGTCCCCTCCCCCCGACAATCCAAAAGAAATAATAATGTGAATATAGGTTATACAAATGTGCAATAAAAAACATTTGTTAATAATCCATGTATCTATGTTGTACTTGACTTGGAAGGAGTAAACCAGCAGTTCAAGGATTGGAGGTTAGGGGGTTTTCATTCATTAGCAAATATGGGGGG